TCATAGAACTACAGCTACTCCTTAAAGCTGTTATAAGATCAAATAAGTAAGAAGGATCATATATTCAAGTTCTTAGCAGAGTACCTGGCACATAGGAGAGGTCCAGTACATTTGGCTATTTTTATTTGTTCCAGAGGAGAAAAAAAGCACAGGTTATCTTAAAGATTATTATTAAAGTTACTGCTGAGGAAGCTTACTAATTTAGGGAACAGAAAGATCTCCATGATAACTTCTCCAGAAGAATTTTAGGTGCATCTAGCAGCCAGTGCCAGGAGAGAGAAGTCAAGAAAATCTCCAGGGATCTGATACAAAGATAGGCACATTATTTTATTCCTATTACCACCTGCCAGTTCAGCAAAATGTACTCTCAAAGAATTTGGCTTAAATGTAATGAGTGTAAATCCTATAATGATCAGCAGAAAGTTCTAGAACCAGTCACAGTTGGAGGTACATATTGAAACCTGAGCCTAGGGGTCAAGCTGTAGCAGCAAATCAGGACTTCTCTTCATACTAGGTAAAAGAACTCCATCCCTCACCACATATCTGATTTCCTCTCTAATGCTTTTCCTTTGGCTTATTAACGTCACTTCCATCTTAGTAGAATGAAATCTTGAGTGTATTCTCAATTTAAGGACAGTTTTAGCTACAAGCTCTTCATTTATCTCATGCTGTAGAGAATTTAGGGGCAAGGTGCATCAGCCCTTTCAGACTAGACTTGACCTTTGTGGATCTTGGACCAATTTCTTCTGCCTTAAGCAGACATTACAATTTGTTGACCTTTCATTATTGGAAATTGATCAGACTGACCTAGAGAGCCCATCTTTTCCTGCGCCCAATGTACATGTTCCTCAGACAAGCAAAAATCATTTCTGTTTGTACTTTGTCATAGAACTTAAAAACCCATTTAAGAACCAAATGCTTTGTATATTATGTCCTCAGAATAGTTAAATAGTAATAATGATAATACATGGGACAATACCAAGGAAACTAGTGAGGGAAGGGGCAGTATTTCAGATAGGTTTACTACACTTTGTCTGTGGGAACAAACAGTTATTGAAAAGCCTTGATAAGCTGCCTCATTTGTCTGGGGCAAATTAAACAAAAACAAAAAAAAAAACAAGAAAAACACAAGGCTTAATGTATATATATGTAATAGCTGGAAATACTTCAGAAAACTCAATCCATTTTTTTATGTTGAAATCCAAGCGATTTTTCAAGAAGCAAAGTCTCTTTTATTAAACAATAGTACTATATTGTCTCCTTCCACTAGAAAGCAAGCTCACTGATAATAGAGACTGTGTTTGCTACATTCCCAGATCTTAGAACTGTATCTGGGATGCTGGTGTGCTTAATAAATGTTTGCTGAATAAATGAGTGAATGAATCTGAAGCAAGTAGACAAATAGATGAATTTTCCTCTGCTTTCCATAGAAAGCAGGCTGTCTCTATACTTTTCTACCATACACAAAATGCATGAAAATAAAAATCCAATGGGGTTTCATGGGGAATCTCATACTTTCCCTGGGATGAGTCTTCCAGAAGTCCGGGAGACTGTGGAAGACTACCAAAGTTCAGTTGGCTGGAATCAACTCTTCAGCTTTTATGTAGCCCACATAATGATGGGTATGAAAATAGTGAGAGAGTAAGACCTCAGCAGGCAGCTCAGGAGGCTGCTAAGTGGTGTTACACAGGAAGTAGCTTCCCGACTTCTACACACAAGCCATTTCTAGTCTTCGCTCAATCTGGAAGACAAAAGCAAGAAGAGATGAAACCTGACTCGTCCTGCTATAGTGTGGCAGAAACACGGATACAGGCCACAAAGAAGAGGAGCAAAGTGGCAGTGCAATACAATGGGGAATTGTTGCCTAATGGAATGGATATTGGAGGGTCACTGAAGGAGAGCAACCATAGTTGAATACAAGTGTTGATGAAGACACATTTGCCATTGGAGGCAGTGCCACATTATCAGTGCTCAATGGTAAAGGACAGGTAGGGCTCTCTGCCATCTGCTGGCACTTGAAATGTAGACAGAATAGCCCGGGAGCCCTTTCTGTGTACTGTGGAAGTGCAGTGCCCACCCCAAGATTGAATCACTATTCCCGTGTCCTCAGAGTCTTAACTTTTACTCTTCAAATCCCTGCTTAACCATTAAGGGTTTTCTTCGGAAGACCACTTACAGTGATAGCCATCCTAATAATAACATTTTACCTTTCAAGAAAAGAAAAGCATCATCCCTAAGTAAGCCTCTATGAAAAAAAGGAGCTGGAAACACAGAGGAAGAGGATTATTTATTTATTTTTTTTAATTTTTTTTATTTATTTATTTATGATAGTCACACAGAGAGAGAGAGAGGCAGAGACACAGGCAGAGGGAGAAGCAGGCTCCATGCACCAGGAGCCCGACGTGGGATTCAATCCTGGGTCTCCAGGATCGCGCCCTGGGCCAAAGGCAGGCGCCAAACTGCTGCGCCACCCAGGGATCCCCCAAGAGGATTATTTAAAAATAAAAAAAAAGTATAGCTTCTTTAGCTACAATTGATAAGGTGTTGGAAGTCAGTATGAAAGCCTGACAGTATATTTGGTTACCATTTACACATATAAAACCATATTTTACATAACTATCATAAACAGGTTCTAATTTCATTTAATAGTTAGGAAATAAGATATTGTTAACAAGCTCTTTTGTGGTCTTTATAAAGCTTCTAGTTAAAGAATTCCTCATGACATTTTGGATTGCTTGAACTTGGTGAGACAGAGCTGTTGATTTCAGGAAAAGCATTTGATTTCAGGAAAAGCATTTCCTGAAGAGTAGAGTAAGTGGCTCACTCTATGTTGGGTGTAGACTATGTGTTATACAAAATATTGTCTTCCATTTAGCACAAGATTATTTTGATAAGAACTAAGATGATTTTAAAAACAAGGCAAAATTGTATACTCTACAACAGACTAAATCTTATAATCTGGAGTAGCAGCGGTTCTCAGATTATGGCCCCTGGACCAGAAATACTGGCATCACCTTGTTAGAAATGCAGGTTTTCAGGCCTCACCCCAGACTTCCTAAATCTGCAATCTAGAAACCCTGGGGAGGTGTTAACATGCCCCCCAGGTGATGCCCGCTCAGGTCTAGCCTCCACTACTGTAACATTACCATGCCTCAAGAGCCTCGCAGTAATCAATTTGAATATTTCCAAACACCAATACAATTTCTGAATTATGCTTCTTTTCACTGCTAGGTCCTTTTATTCACAATTTAGAGCCAGGTCCTCAGATGCTATGGTTTCCCTGTTGGCAGCCACTCACAACTCTCTGCCAAAATATCTGCTCCCTGCTCTGGGGTCCTCCTGGGTCCTTCCACTGGTATGTTGGTCATGCTGTGCTCTGCAGGGGTGGAAGGGTTTATTCTCAATTACTCTGTTCATTCACTGTTCAGAGCTCTTGACACCTTCTGGGGCACCCAAAGGTCCCTAGAGACAGCTTCCATGTTCCTATCCTAGAATTACCAGTAGGCTTATTAAAATCCAGAGCCAGATCAGGGAAATAAAAATCTAAACCACAATGAAATACCTTATGCCTGTTTCACTTATAAGTGAAATTTAAGAAACAAAAGAGATGAACACAGGGGAAGGGCCTGGGCCCCACTCCAAAGTTTTTGATTCAGTTGGTCTTGTATATAGCCCAAGAACTTGCATTTCTAACAAGCCCCTAGGTGAAGTTGATGCTGTTGTCTGGGGACCACATTTTGGGAATCAGTTGAAGGCCAACATCACTGAACTTATTTGTAGGGGAGTAAAAAAAAAAAAAATCAATCAACCTAGACCTGCCCCTTCCCCCAAATGACCACTCTGTGATGTTTGCTAAGAAATCCTAAGTATTCATCACTTAAGTCAGTTTATTTGCTTTCACTGGTAATTAAGTTCCACTTACTCCAAAAATGTTCTGAGGTAATGAAAGTTACCTCTCAGCAGAAACAGTCAATTTACCCAGTGAGCTCAGAGAAATGCTTTTCCTCCCAGGGGAAATAGTGTTGCTATTCTGTTGTTCCTCCAATCTGCTGCCCTTGGCCCTGACTCTGATTCTCTTAAGCTAAGGTGAAGTGGGGTGGAGGTGGGGAACCAGGGCTGAGAAATTTTGTTTTGTCATGATGCAGGTGACAGAGGTAATGGAATAGGGGGACAGATTCTTAGCTTTGAAAAGCAAGTGGGATGTTAATTAACAATCCTGCCAATGACTAATACAATTAACCCCACACACACATATATACCATCTTAAAAGGGAGTCCCTCACTTCCCCATCCTTCCCCACCCCTTCCACCAAGCCAAGGCAGAAATAGAACACAGCTCTCCTCTCAGGGACATTCTCTCCACCTCAGCTCCAGAGGCCACGTCTGCTGCTCCCAGAACAAGCTCTGTTCTCACAGCTGCACAATTCACTGCTGAAACCCTATTCCTGAGAGTGAAGCTGGAGCCAGACACAAGAATATGCCAATAGGGCAAAAGCCTCATTCCAGATCCCAAATGTTATTCTGTAGCCCTCAAAATGGCAACTGCTGTCTCCTGGCCCCAGCCAGGTCCCTGGTCCACAGCCCACATCAGGAGCCTACAGAGACATGGGGAGCTGCTGATGAAAACCACAGGGTGGCCTATGGTGTTTTGCTTTCCTGAGTTCACGACTCCACCTGGGTGTGGGGGCTCTAAGGAGGCTGTTTGGAGGAGGCCCACGCCATAAGGTCTTGCATCACTTACTGGTTCCTCCCTGTGAAAACAGAAAGTTAACATCAAGCCTGCCCTAGACATAGGCTGTCCTCACCCTACAGATGCAAGGGTCAAAGGTCCTGGGGGAACAATATTCAAATGTTTCTGCTAACTGCCTTTTGCATCTCACAGTGGTTCCTCAGGAGCATAAAATTCAAGAAGTGAAACTGAACATTCACCCCTGTAGCCAGAGGAGAGGAGGAGCCCCGAAGGCCCGTTGTATCGTGCCCATTACTTTTCTGTCAGTCACACACTAGGCCTGGCCATGGAGGGTTTCACGGTGGCCCTCCTCATCTGGACTCTGATTTCTCCCACCAGCAGCAGCAACAGCAAAGCCTGGCCCACACACACGGTCTGCCGGGAAGGGAACTTGGAAGTGTTCTACCAGAGTTGTGGTAAGGTCTTTCAAAATGTGGTCATTTGTGTTTATGGGGAAATGAAGGCCACGGATGGGGGCTGAAACGTTTAGTTGGGGTGAGGAACCGGTGAGAGGACCAGGAGCCAAACACTTTCTCCACTTGCAGTGGGTCTGCAAGGCCATTGAGAGCCCTCAGGAGAAGGAGAAGGAGAGGTACAGGGTGGAGAGTGAGAAGGAGCCTGAAGAGAGCCATAAAGAGGACACGAAAAAGGCATTGAGTCTAAATGGAGCAATTCACTAATACTGCAGTCAGAAAGCCCCCAAAATGACCAGGGAATCTACCAAATCATGACACTTCGTTAGCTCCCAATTAAGGAAAGGTGCTTCCAAAAGTCACCACCTCCCTAAACTGTACACCTGGGCTGCCTTTCCGGGTTACTGAGTTTGCAAATTGAGCGAAAAGTTCATGTATGTCAGGAGAGAAGCTTCCTGTCCTTCCTATGACACTCTTAGGGCGACATTGCTCTTTAATTCAGCACTTACTTTGTGGCTGTCAATGCCAGGGTTGTTTCTAGGGCCAGACATAACCAAAGGGCATAAGCCACGTTATAACCCCAGTGGGCCCAACATCTTTACAACAAACAGTGCGATTAATGAACAGAATGCAGGCAACTTCTATAGTCAGTGTCTGAACCAGCACTTTAGGGTATATATTAGTCTACAAGGGCTGTTAGAGCAGAGTACCACAGACTGGGAACAAAGATATTTATTTTTTTCACAGTTCTAGAGGCTAGAAGTCCATGATCAAGGTGTCGGCAGAGTTGGTGTCTCCTGAGGCCTCTCTCCTTGGCTTGTAGATAGCTGTCTTCTCCCTATGTCCTCACGTGGTCTGTCCTCTGTACCTGGCTGTGTCCTGATCTCTTCTTGTAAACACACCAGTCCTATTGGATTAGGGCGCACCCATAGGACTTCATTTAACCTTAATGACTTCTTTAAAGACCCTATCTTCAAATAAAATCATATTCTAAGGTACTAAGAGTTAGGACTTCAATATATTAATTTGGTTATGGCAAGGGGGGGGGCAGTGGTTTGCACACTTCAGTCCACCACAACGAGGGCCTGCATGGGGAAAAATGGGCTCAGCTTCAGGATCATATCTTGAATGAAGATTAGAGGAATGGCCTCATGGAGAAACATGCCAGTGTGAAATGTGACATTCTGGAGATAGGCAGGAAGCAAAATGCACTTTGGATTGAAGAAGTTGGAAAAGTGATGCCCTTTAAGTATTTAAATTGGCTGCAAGATAAACTGGAGAGCAGTGGAGATATTGCACTTGAGCAGATAGATGACCTTGCAGCTGCCACCCAAGGAGTTGCCTTGGAGAGGCTGGGATGGTCAGGCTGGTCCAGGGCCATTTGTCCAACTTGATTTTACTCTTTTAAAAAGAAGGAACACTGAACATTGAAATGCACAAAAACTTTTTTTTCCTAATGTAAAAGAGAATGAATGGCTAGATGCTGTAGATATTGATCTCATTATTCTTGCTCTTCCCATGGGGATGGGATGCTTTCTGCTGGCATCTATGCATTGTAGGTGCAGGATGAGAAGCAAAAGTTGAGATGAATGGACTGCTCAGGATTTGTTTTTCCAATTCATCCTCCCATAAAAGGTTGCCATGGCTGGTCCCTCCCCCAGACCAGCCTGCAGCCTGCAGCCAAGCCTGGCACAGTCTTTCAAGTTGCTGCCAAGAAAGGCAAGAGAAGCGGATGCATCAGGAGAAGAACAAAAGCATATCACTGCCTCTGGGGCTAGCTCCCTGCTCTGGGTAGCTGCTCCATGGAGTCAACAAATGTCTGCACAAGCTCTGCTCTGGGCACTCAGAGAAAAAGGATAGAGGAGACACAGTTCTCATCGAAGAGTAGTGGGAAGATCAGACAATTGAACAAGGTAAATACTCTGTGAAGGGCTGAAATAGAGCCACATGTCATGCACCAGTGCTCATGGTGGTTGGAAAGGGTGAGGTTGGGGTCTTAACCTACCAAGGGAAGGGTCATAAGGTTGACCTCAACCTCAAAGAAGATAAAAATGGTGGGACACCTGGGTGGCTCAGTGGTTGAGTGTCTGACTTTGGCTCAGGGTGTGATCCCAGGGTACTAAGATCAAGTCCCAGTCGGGCTCCCTGCAAGGAGAATGCTTCTCCCTCTGCCTCTCTCTCTTCTCTGTCTCTCATAAATAAATAAATAAATAAATAAATAAATAAATAAATAAATAAATAAATAATCTTTAAAAAAGAATGATAGAAATGGTAATTATAACACCTTATGCTATGTCCATGGAAGGTTTATATATGCCAGGTGCCATACTAAGTACTTCCTATGCATTATTACTTTATGGATGTCTAAATGGGAGTTAGAGATATCAGGCGACTCTTCTGAGGTCACACAGGTAATAGTAGCAGAATTATATCCTGGGAGTGCAAAGAAGATATGGAGTAAATATCTGTGGAATTGAAATGACTTGATCACAAGGCCCAGCTGACTCCAGAGCCTGTGCTTTAATCTGCTGCTATCTGGAGTTTTGTCAGAAGGCAGGTGGATAGAGGTAAGGAGTGGGGAAGACACCACCAGCACAGAGAATGGGACACACGAGCCTACATAGGGTTCAGGGCGCTGCCGAAAGGCTAGAACACAAGAAATGGATGAGAGATGAGGCAGGGAATGTGAGGAGAGCTCAGGGTGATGGTGAACTTATGTGTCCCTTTGGGCCATAGGATGCTCAGTTAGCTGGTTAGACACTTTCTGGGTGTGACAGTGAGGGTGTTTCTAGAGATTATATTGAATTCAGTGGCCTGAGTAAAAGCAGGTCACCCTCCCCAGTGTGGGTGGTCACCATCCAGTCTGTTGAGGGCCTGAACAGAACAAAAAGGTGGTGGACAAAAGGATTCACTCTCTCAGCCTGACTGTAAGCATGGACTTTGACCTCCTGCTTAGAGTACTCTAGGCCATCTGGCTCTCTCATATCCTCAGACTGTACCACCAGCCTTCCTGGGTCTCCAGTTTGCAAATGGCAGATCATAGGGCTTCTCAGCCTTCATAATCATGTGAGTCAATATTTATGATAAATCTTTTTTTATTATATATATATTTTTTTCTAACATATGTATTTCCATTGGTTCTGTTTTTCTGGAGAACCCTAATTAATACAGTAAGAAACAAGGTTAGGCTGCATGCCTTTGGCAATGAGGAGATTGCATGCGAAGAGATTATCTCAGGGAATGGGTGGAAGCATGGGTATTAGATTGAAAGCTGTTCGAGACCATAGCCAGGGTTTGTAGCCTATAAAATCAATAATCCAGGAAAGAAATGATGGCAGGCCAAACTAGCATCATACCAACAGTCTCAACATCAGAAAGAATCTTTGGTTTTACCTTGGGGTTGGCAGAAAAGAAAGCAGTGGGTGGGTCCTTCTCCAAAGGTGAGTCCTGTCTCATCTTTTGAGAGCCATTGAGTGATCAGGGACTGAATGGTCCTCCCCAGATTGAGGTAGTCCTCCCTGTAGCTGGTAGATTCACAGCAGGTCAGCTCCCCCTCAACCTCCAAGGCTTTCTCATTGATAACATAGAACAAAGGCCATGTGTTGAGACCCTCTATCCGACCCTGGTGTTCGGATTTACTTAGTGCATGTCAGGGACTTCTAGAATCCCAACACGCGCCCAGATATGGGGGCATCATCTGACAAAAATAAAGGATCTGCTGTGTCCTGGGTTTAGTGCTTCATTTTTTCCTTCCTGTGTTGTTTTATAATTTAATGGGAAGGGGAGCTCTTAGACCAGACACTGTTCTAAATAAAACAAAAATCCTGGAGGAGAAAGAAAGAAAGAAAGAAAGAAAGAAAGAAAGAAAGAAAGAAAGAAAGAAACTCACAAGCAGTTGCTGGGCTCTGAATATGGACCAGGAAGTGAGCACAATTTTCTGAAAAAAGCAGAAGTCCTGCTCTGTCCAACTGTTAGTGCTACAGTAAAGAAAAGAGTAACAGTCTTTACAAAAGCAGAAGGGGGAACAAAAGCAGCCTGGGGCCTTTCTTTTGTTAAATCGTAGAACAATTCCCAGGGCTAGCAAAAGCCCAGAGACCTCAACCCTTCACATGACACAAATGTCCAACTTTATATGCTGCCTCTATCACACCAGCTCACAGGGTGGATTACAAAGGTCCACAGGATTGGAGGAGGGAGGAGGTAGTAGGAAAGCAGGGTGAATGGAGGGAGGGGAATAATAAATCCAGGAGAGATCAGGACACGTACAACAGAAGAGCCAGTGTGAGAAATAAGATCTGGGGGTCTGAGGTCAACAAACCTCATTCCAGCCCTTGGACAATATTCTCTGTCTCCTACCCTTGATTGCAAAGTGGGCATATGAGTTTCCTATGGATGCACTAATGGCTACCACTTGATGGCTTAAAATGACACATGTGTATTCTTTTAATGTTCTGGAGGTCAGACATCTAAAGTCAACTTCACTTAGTGAAGGGCCATGCTCCCTTGGGAACTCTAGGAGAGAATCTCTCTTCTAGCTTTCTCCAGCTTCTACAGCTGCATTGCTCGGCTCGTGGCCCCTTCCTTCATCTTCAAGGCCAGCAGCGTAGCATCTTGCTTCAACATCTTGTTATCACGTTGGTTTCTTCTGTGTCTACTCTCCTTCTGCCTCCCTCTGATGAGGACACTAAGATTAGGATAATCTCCCCATCTCAAGATCCTTAACTTGATCCCATCTGCAAATTCCCTCTTGCTATAAAAGGTGACATTTGCAGGTTCTGGGGATCAGGATATGAATATCTTTGTGAGCCATTATTCAGCTCACTATAATAGGAATAATAATTTTACCTACCTCCCAGCACTAAGTAAAAAGGACTGTATGAAAAGTATTTAGTACATACTTAGTATATAAATCTTTACTGCTGAGGACTTGCAAGGTGTTTTCTAGTCAATAGAGATATATTTGACTATGAGCTTCCTTGAAGCCAAATCAAACAAGGAAATTA